CATCATTGTTGTTTGGAGGGCCCAGGTTGGATTTGAACCTGCCAGCTCAGGTGTATGTGGCTGGCGCCTCAACCGCTTGAGCCACAGGCGCTGAGCCAATACTTTCTATTTTTAAAAAACTCTTTCTGCTTGCTAGAAAGCATAATTGCTATGCTGAATTCAGCATAATTGCTATGCTGAAACATAAAACATTTCAGTATTACCAGAGTTGTATGGGAAATCAATATTTTAAAAATAGTTTCAGAACTTGCTAAATGTCAACCCATAGTAAGGAAAGGATCTAAGGTATTATACCAGAAAAAATATTAATATTATGCTTAAGGAGACTTAATTTGACTCACATAGAATTGAGATATCAACAATAAATGTTTCTCTTAAAAAAAATCAATACCTTTCTAAGAACTGAGTTCAAACTAAATGTATAAAATGACCACCTAACTTTACATGAATTGATTCTAAGTAAATCTGATGCAATCTAAATAAGAGTTAACAACTCTTATTTATGGTTCTTTCATAAAACTCATTTTTTGCATCACTTTTTGGATAAAACAGAATATTTACAATCACTGTATATTTGGAACATCACATAAACATTTAAGAGTGAACATGTGTGCTTTGCAGTGGACTTTGACTCTATTTAGACAACTATTCTGCCAGTGTTTGCTGGCGCTCACAGCAGACCAAGTAATGGAAAGAATGTGAAGCGATCTGTGTGAACCCCTCCCTCCCACGCTTAATGCTCAGGCCCTTCCAACATAGGTCTGTAGCATCATCTTACTTTTAAAGGTAATACTTGTGCACAAAATTGAGAACCTTAAGGAAAGCACAGTGAATGCCACCATGCCAGGCTTAAACTACGTTTTCTCTATTCAATTATTAATTCAATTATTAATTGATTTCTTTGCATTAGACATCTTAACAAAAATGCATAAATATAGTAGAGTTGCACAATTGATGCAGGGCTGCATTTAGTTTATGTGAATTCAATTATATACACAAAGAAAAAAATTAAAAAGGAAACCCAGACGTTTTAACGGTGAAAATGATGCCCATGGAACATCTGACTCAGCTCTTCTCAGTTCCACATGCTGCTCACAGTAGCAGCATCTCCACATCCCGGGTGTATTCCTGATGTTTAAAGGCACTTATTTTGGATTCAGCAAGGGTCATAAACAAAAGCCAGCTACTTTATCTTGCTCTCAGACTTATTTTAAATATATGTGAATGCTGCCTTAACCTCTGATTTTATGTTGTTTGTTTGTTTGTTTGGAGACAGAATCTCACTTAGGAACCCTGGGGTTGAGTGCCATGGTGTCATAGCTCACAGCAACCTTAAATTCTTGGGCTCAAGTGATTCTCTTGCCTTATCCTCCAGAGTAGCTGGGACTACAGGTGCCTGCTACGTCTATTTTTTAGAGATGAGGTCTCGCTCTTGCTCAGGCTGAGTAAGTCTCCAACTCCTAAACTCAAATAATCTGCCTGCCTTGGCCTCCCAGAGTGCTGGGATTATAGCTATAAGCCACTGCACCCTGCCCTTAATCTCTGATTTTTGAACAATCTAGTGTTGGCATAAGAGGCAATCCCACCATTTATGTAAATGTCTCCCTAGTTCAGATAGTTTTCTATGTGGTTGAATTAGCTGAGAGATAAAAGTAGAATCTGGCAGGTGGTGCCTGTGGCTCAAGGAGTAGGGTTCCAGCCCCATATACTGGAGGTAGCGAGTTCAAACCTGGCCCCAGCCAAAAACTACAAAAAAAAAAAAAGTGGAATTTGGCTATTTTCACAAGTTGGTCACAGAAAACAAAGATATCGGGTGGCGCCTGTGGCTCAAAAGGGTATGGCGCCGGTCCTATATGCCAAAGGTGGTGGGTTCAAACTCAGCTCTGCCCAAAAACGGCAAAAAAGAAAAAGAAAACAAAGATATCTGCTGATATCTGCCTGAACAAGCAGCCTCCGTAACACAGAGCCACAGAAGGGGCACTGGAAGTTTGGAAACTGCTGAGTTCTGATCAAGGTTCTGCCTTTTACTGATTGGGAAACCTGAGGCAAGATGCCCAGCGGCACAAGGCCTTGTTTATGGGACCCTCAGGAATGTAAACAAGTGTCACTGTTCTATTTTCAAACTCCCTATAAGCAATATGTATAAACAAATGAAACAGTTTTCTCAGCCTATGTGGAGAACTTCATCTTCAACAAGAGGGAAAAAAAAGTTATGCACTTAAAACAAAAATAAACTTTAAGATGTCTTCTAACTTGAAATAAAATGCACTAACTTTTAGCCATAGCACCCGGTAGCATAGTTTTACACTTAATTCCTTTTATAATTAAAATATATAAAAACAGTTTACAGGCAATGGCATGAGATTATCTTCAGTAGAAGAGGTATTTAAGAATCAGCTTAGGAAATTACATAAAAATTATTTCACAAAATAAAAGCTATTACAGTATTAGCTAACATTATGTACTTTACCTCATAATACATAATAGAATGCATGAGTAAAATATGATAAATCAAAAAGAGGTTTTTTTTTTTATTGCTCACAGCAACCTCCAACTCCTGGGCTCAAGCGAGTCTCCTGCCTCAGCCTCCCAAGTAGCTGGGACCACAGGCACCCGCCACAACGCCTGGCTATTTTTTGGTTGCAGCTGTCATTGTTGTTTGGCGGGCCCAGGCTGGATTCGAACCTGCCACCTTAGGTGTATGTGGCTGGCGCCCTCGCCACTTGAGCCACAGGTGTTAAAATATCCTGAAAATGTGATTCTTTCCTCTGAACTTCCATAGTATAATTCTTGCATAGTACCATATACTCAATAGGGCTATGAGCTTCCAAACAAATGGCAGGGTGCCTGGCATACAAATACTGATTCAAAGATTGTTTGAATTCAATTGTAACGCTACAAATACACTGTATCTTTAGTAATGTCAGAGATATCATCACTTGGAGATGCAACTGTCCTTGAAATAATGAAAATAGTGACCTCTAGTGGTACAAAACTGCACTTTCTCCCAATCTTTAATCACAGGAGATTAAAATTAAGAATTCTATTTTATT